TAGTGTATTTTGAAATCAGATAGTATAATGCCTCTTGTTTTGTTCTTTTTGCACAAGATTGCTTGGGCTATTCAGAATAGCAAGAAATTTGGTTATTGAGCTTTTTCTGGTTCCATATAAATTTTAACATTGTTTTCTCTATTGTTATGGTAGTTTAATTGGGATTACATTGAATCTGTAGATTGCTTTGGGTAATGTAACCTTTTTTTTTTTGAGAGAGAGAATTTTTTTATTAATATTTGTTTTTTTAGTTTTTGGTGGGCACAACATCTTTATTTGTATGTGGTGCTGAGGATCGAACCCAGTGCCCCACGCATGCCAGGCAAGCGCACTACCGTTTGAGCTACATCCCCAACCCATAATGTAACCATTTTAACAATATTGATTCTTCTAGTCCATGAATACCTTCCATTTTTTTTTGTGTGTGTGTTCTCTTAAATATCTTTCATCAGTATTTTATAATAATTTTCATTGTAGAGATCTTATACTAATACAGTTAAATTTATTCTTAGGTATCTTTTGGTAGTTATTATAAATGGGATTGCTTTCTTGATTTAGATTTCAGATTATTCACTGTTGTCATTATAACTATGCTACTTGAGAGCTGAGGAGTAGCTCAGGGTGCTACCTGGGCATGAGGTCCTGGGTTTGAGCCTTAGCACTCAAAAAACAAAACAAAACAAAACACCAGAGTAATAATAGTGCTACTGATTCTTGTGTTGATTTTTATATTCTGCAACCATGCTAACTTCAGTAATTAGTTCTAATAGTTTTCTGGTGAAACCTTTGGGGTTTTCTATATATAATAAACTCATTCATCTATAAAGAGTTACATTTTGACTTCCTTTTTCAAATTTGGATATTCTTTATTTCTTTCTCTTGCCTGATTGCTCTGGCTAGGAGTTCTAATACCTTGTTGAATAAAAGTGATAAAAGTGGAAATCCTTTTCTTTGTCCAAATCTTAAAGAGAAAGGCTTTAGCTTTCCTTCATTCAGTATAATGTTAATTCTTGGCTTATTGTATATGACCTTTATTGTATTGAGATATGTTCCTTCTACACCTGTTTGCTAAGCAGTTTTATCATGAAGGGATGTTGATTTTTATCATATCTATTGAGATAACTAAAAAAATCAAAAAATTAAAAAAAATAAAATTTAAAAAATCAAGAGCTATGTAATGTTTTGAACAACTAATAAAAAAAAAGAGAGATAACTATGTTATTTTTGCCCCTCATTCTATTAGTATGGTATATTTGCCTATGTTGAACCATCCTTTCATTGCTGGGATGAATTCCAATTGATTGTGGTGAATAATCTTTTAATGTACTGATGTATTCAGTTT